AGATGTCAAAGAGCTTGTGGTCATGGTGGAGTTTGATATGGGATTTGGGGGGGCTCGGGTACAGCAGAGGAGCCCTCATGGCCAAGAACGCCTCTCACCAGCCAACCTGCCGTATATCTTGTTGTATGCCGACGATCGAGCTATAGATGAACCAAACAGCGTGGCCATGTCACTACAGAGGTATGGGCCTTTTCCAGCAGGGGATGACTCATCCGCTTCAGCCTCGAGGATTCGGAGGGAGCTTCATCTACAGATCCAAACCAACGACATCCCGGAGGCGCACTTCAATAACCTGAAGAACCACGAACTGTGGCAGAGCACATATTTCCCAGCAAAAGCAAAAACTGTGGTCAAAACGGGAAGAAAGCATGGCCTGGTAAGCAGCGAGGGCCTGAGCAAGCCACAAGTGCTGAGCTTTGATGAGAGGACGATGAAGAAGGCCAGGAGGAGACAGTGGAGTGAGCCCAGGGTTTGCTCCAGGCGCTACCTCAGGGTAGACTTTGCAGACATCGGCTGGAGCGAGTGGGTGTTGGTACCAAAGGCTTTTGATGCCTACTACTGCGCCGGGACCTGTGGATTCCCCATACCTAAAGTAAGACATGAAAACCTTCTTATTGTCACTCCAACCATTAGCTGATTTTTTTTAATTCAGTCAGTAGAATACTTCATTATTTTACCAAATCCACAAGTAGAAAAACTATTAAAACTATTATAAAAACATGACTTTAACTTTATTTTAAGGGTTAGGAAAGTTCTCTTGTTATTTTACTAATAATCAGTCCTTTACAACTCCTTACTTCCTCAGGTGGCACGTCCTTCCAATCACGCCACTATCCAGAGCATTGTCAGAGCTGTGGGAATTGTCCCTGGTGTGCCTGAGCCATGTTGTGTTCCAGACAAAATGAGCCCCCTCAGCGTCCTTTACCTGGATCCAAGCAGGAACATGGTGCTAAAGGTTTACCCAAACATGTCTGTGGATACATGCGCCTGCCGGTAGGGCCACTGCATGAGTCGCTGGAAACTGTGATCAATGAAGATAGGAGACAATGAATACAAAGAAAGTGTAGCTTCAGCGCCTAACAGGAAGCTCGTGTCAGATGGAAGAACAGTTGTAGAGAGAAACAGTGAGAATAACTGATACATACAGACTTTTCTTCCGAGATCTTGGCCTTGTTTCGTGTCTGCCAGGATTGGACATTGCCTTAAGTATTTTTCTGCTTGTCTAACAGTGTTCATAGATGCCTTTCATCCAAGTTTATTTTCTGAAAATGCTTGGGTGCCCTTAAAGAAACACGTGTTTGTATTACTTTTAATCTACAAGTTCCTGCAAGTAGATCAAGTTCCCACTGATCCTTAAAAAGCTTTTTTATTTATTTATTTGGAGCAGTTTATCAAGTTTTTTCTCTGTTTCAGTTTTTAGAAGGATGTTGTTTTACCATCACCTTGGACTCAGACTTAACTGGACTTGGTTTGGGAATCTGCTCAGACTCCTCAAAAGAGCTCAAAAAAGGCTAATCAAATGTTCTGAACTGTGGTCAAACTGATAAGAAGAACTTTGGACACAGATGCTACATGGCAGCATATTCATATTCTCTGTTACTCAGCATTTGTCATGGAAATCATTACACACGAACATTAAGTGGTACTTAGTGAGTTTAGCCCTTTATCATGCATGAGAGGTCATATCTTCTTCAAACTATATCTCAGCAACTATTTGTTTATATCTTGTATATAATGAGTGTATTTTGCCATACGGTGACTGTTACTTTGAAGCCGGGTTAAGCCCGTTCACCAATCACACATAACCAATGCACTGCTGCCACCTGCTGTGCATTTTGTTCAGTTGAAAGGATGTCAAACTTGGACGACTTCCTGTACTTCCTGTGTTTATTCACTGCTTCCTTTAAACACTAAAACATTATTTATCCATAAAGACATGTACAGTTTTTAATGTGTACAGTAATGACAGTAGATTTCCACAGTAACTAAAGGAGATATTGCTAAACTGTAATCAAATATTAATGGTATGTGCTGATGTGTGCTTTAATAGACCACAGACTTGGTCTATGCTTGGTGTAAAAATAAACTGAATTGTACATACTGTCAAAAACACTTGTTAACGTAGGTTTTTATGTATTAAAGTATGTATACCTAACCATAACATGCAGTACTTTATACACACTGTACCTCTTGTCATGTAACATTAAATTTCATATATAAAGATGGAGGGAAAAAATTAAACATTTCACTTTAGAGGAAGTGCAAAATTGTTCACCTTCATTTTATAAATACTTGTTTCCTGAGGATGATAATGCTTGAATCATATACCTTAATAATCAGCAGATGTCAGTCCAGTTTAAAACCTACTACAGACTTTGGATGAATATGCTCTCAACACTACTAACATCATCAAATGAGGAAATATATTTTGAGGTAATGGTTTCCATGTCTCCAGTAGATTTCCAGACACTTAAAGAACCAGTGCCAAAGGGTATTTGTGCTGACCTGAGACACTTTTGTGAACTTTCCCTTTCATTTCCAACTTCGCTGATGTTTTATTCAGCAAATTGGGACATTAGGTCTGATCTGTAGGTTTACTGATTTTTTTATTTTTTATTTTATTTAGTTAGAACGAGGGACAATACATATTAATGAACATTTTAACAAATGTAAATATGCCAGATTATAGCCTTGGCTAATGTCCATCTGCAGACCCTCTGGCAGGTTACAGGTTTTTGCGTTTTTTTAAATAGTGGCAGGTTAGTGCTTTTTAGTTATGAATGCTAGTCTATATGACCTGTAAATACATTTGATTAAAAAAAGTTTTGTTTTTGTTTGGTACTTTATATAAATCGATGTGATGTGTGAGTCACTATTGATGATAACCACAATCCCAGCTCCAAATCCCAACCCTGCTGTCTGGAGACAAGAAAAAAGTATTTAAAAATACATTTTATTTTATTTTATCCCCTAATTGCCAATAATTGGGAGAATAATTTTTTTTAAAAAAGCACTTTTTGATAGCACAGTGTTACGATTAGGCTCATCACCAGTGACAACTTAAACTTCAAATTGTTAATGTAATGTATGTTTTGAAGATTCAGAGAATATCACCACATAACAGAAACAAACGTAGACCTCATGGAGATTATTAAGGTCTTTAATCTAACTGTTTTTATTGCCTAAAAATGTTTTTATTCAGGTTCCAGACTGTCTCTGGAACAAACATGCAGCATACTGACAAATGCCTTGAAAACAAAGCTTGGGCCAAAACATATTGCTGGTATGACACATGATCAAGTCCTCACTACCCTAAAACATTTTTATTATTTCTCTTTTCTTTTCACAAGTTCATCCAACTGATCAGGTGACTGCACTTTAGATCATATTAAAGTTTTCTCATCGTGTTTGTTTTCCTTCTGCGTGCCTACACTGTTTGCTGTACCCATGCCAGTACATTTCCTCCTCGTCTTTCATCACTGATGGACTCCATAGAGCAGACCTCTTAAGACCATGAAAGGGCCACAGCGAAACCATTTTATGAAACCCAGTGTGAACCAAGTAATAAGAGACTGAATGATTGAGAAGAAGAAGAAGAAAGAAATTCCACTATAGGTCGGATGTAAGCCAACGTCCCCAGACTCACTGACTTGTGGTTTGGGCTCAACCAGTTCGTCAACATTCTTCCATATGCTGCTTTGCGTCTGGTTCTTCTTCGCACAGAAGAAGTGCACAACAACAGATGCAGTCACACACTTTTTTTAAGATTAGTCCACAACATATAGAACTTGCCTGATATGCAATCTCTTATTTTATTTTTGTAGTATCTGTACTTTTACAGTAATGCATTACTGCTATTAAATCGCTCCAAAACTTCACATAGGGTCACATCTCATTGTTAGTTTCTTTCATTTTATGAAAGAGTTTCCATTGAGACAAGAAACTCAACATAAATACATTTTGAAACCAAACACAGATTATATTATCAATATTTTATCAGTATAAATATGATTGTAGCATATATGTCTGTACACACTCTATCACCTCCTTAAGTGGTGGGACAATCTGAATGAAACAAACACATAATATCTATATGTTTAAAAAGAAACATTATCAATCCAAATTCTTTGGCTTTTCGTGTATATTATGTTAATTTCATCATCCCCCTGTGAATATGATGTTATGCTCTCCATTGTGTTGCCTGTACATAACTTAATCACCAAAATGTGTATCCTCAGTGGACTCTGTGGGACTAGCAAAAGTTTAACATGAGTATAATGGTTGTAAATAATGGGATTATTAAGTCATTGTAAAGAACTTTTGCATTTGCAAAAACAAGTAGTGTTTGAGCAATAGGCTAGAAAACTGATGCCAGAAATGTGAAATATGCACACTGATAGGATTGGTTGGATCCTGCTGTCTAATTAGAAATTTCTTGACATTTTGACCACAGCACTAAAACCACGAGAGCTACAAATGGTAAATGGTAAATGGCCTGTATTTGTATAGCGCTTTTCTAGTCCCTAAGGACCCCAAAGCGCTACAATGCTAATCTAGCTACAGATTTTAACAAGCAAGGCTGTTACGCCTTCAAGCTGACATTTTATCACTTTTTCTTTCTTTTCTTTTTCTTTTGGCTGGTTTCGTTATGAAGCCGCATCCGAGTTGGGGAAAGTAATTTTATAATGTCTGTTTTTCAGTAACCTCGCAATTTCCAGCACCCCCTTCATTATCCCTGTCAACTGTTTACAGTGTCTTCATTAGCAGACACCCCTCTAATGATAACAAAGCTTTAAAGAAGGCATCGGCTGCAGTGATAAGCATGGCCAAGCTACTATTTTAGTTGACACAAGTCCCCCTGTTTACTCTGGGAGCATGGGAGCGGACACCAGGAGTCTGATATGTGTACTGAGAATTGCCATTTTCAAAATTTGCCACAGCAAAGTCTGTTTTCGAGCAGGGGAGACGGTGAAGTTCTCACCAGTTTAGTCACATTCAAAATGCAGCTCTCCAGAAGCTCCCTGTTCCAGGTGTGTTTAAGTCTGGTGGCTACCATTGGTTCCTGCCACTGTAAACCTATCAACAATGACATCAGAAGGAACATGGAGGAACTCTACTCTCAGCTCTCAGAGGACCTTCTGGAAGAGGAAGAGACAGATTCGAGGATGGAGAACCTCCTGGGAACCATGAAGGAGGGTTTTCTGAGACAGCTCAACTTGTCAGACGTTCCTCAGGAGCACAGCAAGATCATCCCCCCTCAGTTCATGATGGAACTGTACAACAAGTATGCCTCGGACACCTCGGCAGCCCCTCAGTCTGATGTCATACGAAGCTTCACTGTGCAAGGTATCTGAATTGGATTTAACTGGACACAGCAAAAGTACACTCTGAGTTACATGTAGCTGATGGCAGAGGGACATTCATGGATCATGAAAATGAGTCTTGTTTATTCCAGTATTCCAAATCAAGACTCGTATCTGGAAAAGCCACCTTGAGAAATGCACATTTGTGTTATATCTGGTTTAGATCTTTGCAGCTAACACAGGTAATACAGGTTTCCCTCTTCAGAGCTACAACTAGCTGATAAACCCACATTGCTGTTTTTTTGTTGTTTCTTGAAATGTTCAGCTGGGGTAATATTAACATTTCCTAGCATACATGAGCTGAAACTTCTTAGAAATAGAGAAATATTTACTTCTAAGCCCTCATCAGTGGCTTTTCCTTTGCTATTACATGATTTTATATATTCTGGTGAAGATGCAGGATGTAAAGTACCAACGAAAGTATCCCCAGATGATTTCCTTTGATTGATTAGCCAATGAGAACTACACATCAGTTTCTGTATTATGGTTACTGCCTGTGTGGTCTTTGGATCTCTAGTGGTCGTGAACTGTTTTTGGTCTCGACAGACAGATATCGAATCTATCAAATAACATAATATTGTCAATGTTAGGGTACTATTTCGGCAGAAAATGAAATAAGACTCGGATTTCACTTCTGACTGTAATAGGTACACAGTCCGTGGCCGACCATGACAATCCCTGCTGCTGTTTCAGATGTGTCAGTGATCAGGGTGTTTTTTCTCTTTGACAGATTTTACTCTCTCTATGACGAATGGGACAAAGTCAAAGTACAGGCTGCAGTTCAACATCAGCATCCCCAGCCATGAAAAGATCACAACTGCTGAGCTGCAGCTTTTCTTCTTCCCAAACTTCAGGCCAAGAGTCACCTCCCACAGTTTCAAGATCATGGTTAAAGTCTACGAAGTCGATACGAACAATTTCACATCCTCGGCCCAACTGCTGGTGGGCAAAGAGGTGGCAGGCTCTCAGAGCACATGGACAACGTTTGATGTGACCACGGCTATTCAGAGCTGGATCAAGTCAGGCCCTGCACCAACTGTTTTTGACGTAGCGGTGGATATGAAAGATTGTGGGGATTCTGGAAGCGGGGCGGCAGGGGCCAGCTGTTTAAACATGAGCGTGTCCGTCGGCGATAATACCTCTGCGGCTTTGATTGTCTTCTCAAATGACCTCAGTAACAGGAGGAGGGAGATGAAGAAGGAACTAAGAGAGATGATCCTTCATGAAGAAGAAACCATCCTACATTCAGGGGCTGACTGGAACAGAGGATATCAGCTACCAAACGAGATCCCTGATTCTCAGCACCCACAGAGAACAAAAAGACGAGCACCGAGGGAATACTGCCGGCGGACCTCGCTCAAGGTCAACTTTAAAGACATTGGCTGGGACAGCTGGATAGTGGCGCCTCGGGAATATGATGCCTTTGAATGTCGCGGCCAGTGTTACCATCCACTGACGGATGAGTCATCTCCATCAAAACACGCCCTTATCCAGACGCTGATGAACATCAGGGACCCCAAGAAGGCCAACATGGCATGCTGCGTCCCAATCCAACTTGACCCCATCACAGTCATGTACCAGGAGAATGGGCGCATCACTATAAGATATCTGTATGAAGAGATGAAGGTAGCAGAGTGTGGCTGCAGGTAGTTTGCCCTTACCCTAGCAAAGGTAATGATCATCCTAAATTTAAATTTTATTCCATTTAGTTCAATGTTCAAGGATAACAGGTCATATGGCAACTTTCATGCCCTGTATTGGTCCAAAAGGTTGTAAAATATTCCAGAGTTTTTTGTTTTGTTTTGTTTTTTAAAGTCTTTTCTATTAATTCTACTGATTTTTTTTTATTGATCTGTTGATTCAACTGATATATGCACATGACTTATATGTAGAAAAAAGTTCAGTAGCAAACTATGGCTTCATGTGGGAGTTAAACGCCACCCTCCCTCGTGGATGTTCATAATAAACACGCACCACCTGTATTTAGCTTTAAGTTCTCCATATTATTTTATTCTTACTGTGAAAAAAGCTGTGATTAGCTCTTCTAGACTAGAAGGGGTATTTCTAATCTATCATTGTGGACTAGAATTCTCTACAGCGTGAAAAGAGATGTCATACAAGGTACAGGAGTCTGTTGATTGTGCTCAAAATATCTCCCATCCCTAGGTTCAATTTTAGGTGAAGCTAGGAAGAAGCTAAACTTCAAGATAAGAACTTTTCTAGCAAATATTCTAAATAGATGAATACTAAGGAATAAAGAATTGCTCTAAACTATGCACCTATTTTTTGTCAGAAGTAAGGTACTATGCATAATTGATGAAAAAAAAAAACTGGCAATCACTTAAATTAATACCCCAATGCTAACAGCATGACAGACTTGCTGCTTTTGAGAGTCCATTGTAAGATATGCGTGACGGTTTGTCAAAACAACAGAATAGTGGAAGAGCAAAGGAAAGGGACACATTTTGCATTTATTGTATTTAATTCTCATCATGTGTACAGTAAAGGTTTTCCCTGTATGTGTGGAGTACATAATAAAAAGCATGTAAAAAGCAAAGTTAAACGAGTTTACTATTACAGGTAAAACAGGTATAATTATTGTTTGTAATAAGCTGGTGAAACATAAATTCACATATAATCACTGCTCATTTGCTGATATAACACATCTGTATATTGATATTGTAAGTATAAATGATTTATATTGATATATATCTGGTATTAGTCTGTAAATTATTAACATTACATTCATTGACAGCATAAACATGCCCACCATGGGCTACTACAGAGGGGCAGAAGTCAAAAATTGATAGGTGTGTATCTGTACTTATGATCCCCGAGAGAAAGAAATTACAGAAAAATGTATATTTAAAAGAAATAATAATTATTAGAATATTTGCTCTCAGTGTGCAGATTTTTACTCTCCTATATGTAGCATGATGTCATCATTTTGTTTCTAAGGCATTCCAACCCTGAAATTAATAAAAAATTCTTGGGCTCTTCTCAGCCAGAAGTCTCCTTTTTGACATACTCACCTCCTCACCTGTTATTGATATTTCTGGCCAATAAATGAAATGCTGTGAGTGTCAACAGGGCACAGTTTGTCCACTAGAGGGCACTCTGCCACTTCCCTTTTGGCAACATCCGTGAGTCTGGAAAACCACAAGCACATCAACCAGCTGACCTGACCATAGCTGTCCAGAGCATGAATTAATTAATATGTTCCTAAAACAACTGTAAACAAATACATATAACAAATCAGGTAAATCTGTCTTTTACATGCATATGAAAGGAAAAAACAGCCAAAATATCAGATTTTTAATCATTAAATATCACCGTTGCTCCTAAAAATCCGATATCAATTGGACTCAAAACACAAGATACAGTTGGGGAGACTGGCTGATCCACAAAGACAATTAGTCATTAGGTACTGAAACAGCTGCTATACAGTGGAAGACTAATAAGATGATTAAAGGCAGGTGATGAAATAAGAAATATCACAGTTATTCACATTGTGCAATGCTGACTTTTTATTGCACAGAGTAATAGCGTTACAAAAAAAGCCTGTATAATGTCTCCATGAATGCTATTTTCCAAAAGTCCACAAATTATAGAAAACAACAAAGAGAAAGAGAAAGTGAGGTTCTACATTTTAATGTAATCGTGGAAAAATGACTGTATAAACTAATGACTATGTGGAAAAAACAATTAGTTATCCCCCTTACACACACTCATCATACAGTAATCTATACTGTCAGCTGTGTAAATATTAAATGTCAGTGACATAGTCTTATCTGAGTTCGACCCACCATGTTGAAATCAATGAGGGGACAAGTTTGTGCAAACACTTCCATGTCCTGTAGCACTAAACTGATCTTGTTTTAAAATAACATCAGTGTCGGGATCAGAATTCCTGTTTCCTGAGAACCAAGGAAAAAGCTCCATTAGTTTTTGCTTCATAACAGTGTGTTCCTTCAATCACCAACAGCATGGGACAACGAGCCTTTAAGTCTCTGCTTCTACTGTTTAATATTATCATTTAAAAACAGCGATTAGAACAGCCATGAAAGGCAACATGAAATGGACACTGATGATTCTTGTGTTTGTTCATTCCTGAATGTGTGTTGGGAACTCAGCTCTAAATCTTGCTGACATTAATACGTTTTGTTGCGTGACTATCACAGCTAACATCTTAACTCTTACGCCACTTCATTTCTACAGTCTACTTTCTGAATCAGTTCTGAATCAATGTTAACCCTTGGGTATTTTATTATCAGCGAAAATGATATAATCTGTTCTTTTATTTGACACAAAGTGACAACATCAGGAAGTATTCAGTGTTTCGAAGTTCTCGATAAGCACCCTGGGAATTGGATGAGACTGGAATTTGTTATGTAAGGTATGAGGCCGTAATAAAGGCTAAGACGTTAAGCTTAGCAAGTCTAGTATTTGGAATAAGCTCATGTCTGGCACTATTAGTTGTGAGCTGGTCTTATGATGTCTTGCTGTTTAAATCTGAGTAAACGATGGAACTTTACCAGCTATCAATTTTCTATTATATCCAAACTTGTCCTTGTTGTGAAAATAAGGCATTCAATAGACATAAAAACTTTCCACTCAACTGGAAGGAGTGGAACACTCAACTGTTTGTTCCTTCCTGTTTGTGGGTGTTACACACACTTTGAATTAAGGAACTTGTTACCCAGTTCTGATCCTGGATGTGTTTTAAGAAGGCTTTGTCTGTAAACTGTGTAATCATGTCACCAGTGAAATGACCCAGACATGACCCACTAAAGCTACCAACAGCACCAAAATACACCACCATCAGCTTTCGTAACAGGCAAGGAAGAAAGAGGTAAAAAGGAGTGGGAGTGTTTCAGTTGGGGCTTTGGCACAAATCAGTGCAGCCTCATTTATCACCTTTTTAGTACTGAGTATTCCACGGGGAGAATTTGGTAAATGATGCAGACTGTAATAGAAAAATAAGTAGAAAAATAATAAACAGTAAACTGTCTTTCAGTTACAAGTGTTAAAACTAGAGGTACCAGAACCCAAACCTCTATTACATTTGTGTCAAAAACAGTGAGAAACTGTACCTCCCATTTATCATTTTTCATTCTGTCTGCTATTGTCTGCAGGCTGAAGCACTACATATAATGCGATTAAAGGTTTATTGTAGACAAAAGCCTCTTATGTTGATGTTGCTGCCCGAAAAACCTTTGACAATGACATATTCCTTCCAGTGAAATCCACAGTCTCTGAACACAAATCAACTAACACAACCCAGAAAAAGCAAAGACGGAGGTGGTTCTCTTTCTATCAGCGTTGATGAAGATATTAGAGATGGCGCATACGACAGTGCCACTTCTGTTGATGTTTTTTCTATCTACTCTATCCAGCAACTCGTCATTCCAGCCTGCTCTAGTATTAGAAATGGCCAAGATTCTTTTGGAAAACTACTGCTTCCCTGAGAACCTGGTTGGGATGCAAGAGGCCATCCAACAAGCTATCAACAGTGGAGAAATCCTGCAGATTTCAGATAGGAAGACCCTGGCAACTGTGCTCACAGCTGGAGTACAAGGAGCATTGAATGATCCTCGGTTGACCATTTCCTATGAGCCTAATTTTGTCCCAGTGATGCCACCAACTCTGTCATCTCTTCCAAAAGAACAGCTGATCCGGCTGGTGGAAAACTCTGTCAAGGCGGATATCTTGGAAAACAATGTTGGCTATCTACGGATAGATCGGATCATTGGGGAGGAAACAGCAGTAAAGTTTGGCTCGCAGCTCATGGGAAATATCTGGGATAATATGGCTCACACATCCTCACTAATCTTTGACCTAAGGTACAGCACAGCTGGAGAGCTCTCTGGAGTTCCTTTTATTATCTCCTATTTCTCAGACCCTGAATCCGTTATTCATATTGACACTGTATATGACAGGCCTTCAAATTCAACCAGGGAACTATGGACCATCCCATCTATAGTGGGGGAAAGGTATGGAAAGAAAAAAGATGTCATTATTTTGACCAGTAGATCCACAACGGGGGCTGCTGAGGCAGTGGCGTATGCTCTAAAAAACCTAAGGAGGGCCATCACAGTTGGAGAAAAGTCTGCTGGTGGGTCGGTGAAAGTCCAAAAAATAAGGATTGCTCAGTCGAAGTTCTACATAACAGTTCCTGTGGCAAGATCTGTCAGTCCAATTACAGGTCAGAGCTGGGAGGTCACTGGTGTTTCTCCAAATGTCCACATCATTGCCAAGGAAGCTGTCGCAAAAGCCAAATCACTTCTGGCTATAAGGAATTCTATTCCAAAAGTTGTCCAAAGAATCTCTGACAAAATCGACCGGTTCTACACGTTTACTGAGAGAGTTCCAGCTCTTCTTCAACTCTTGGAATCTACAGACTTCGTGTCTGTCGTATCTGAAGAGGGTCTAGCAATCAGACTCAACCAAGTGCTCCAGACTGTGTCTGAAGATCCCAGACTGACAATCAAATACATGCCAGAATATGCAGCCAATGTAGAGGAAGGCCATGAACATGACAAAGTTCCAGACGATCCTGGACTATTAACGGAATACATTGATACATTGCTCAAAGTGGAAATTCTCCCAGGCAACACTGGTTATGTCCGCTTTGACAGGTTTGTCAAGTC